CCCAGCCCACGGCCGGCAGCCGGGAAAGCGAGGCCCTGGCTGGCAGCCAGGGAAGGGAGGCCCCCACCAGCAGCTGGCAGCTGCTAGAGACCCTACCCATGCACGAATTTCATGCACTGGGCCTCTAGTAAAACTCATAAAAGAAACATAGGCAGTAAGCTTTCTGACATTTCTCTTAACAGTATTTTTTTGTATATGTCTCCTCAGGCAAGGACAACAAAAGCAAAAATAAACAAAGGGGACTACAACAACCTAATAAGGTTTTGCACAGCAAAAGCAAACATCAACAAAATGAAAACACAATCTAGTGAATGGGAGATAATACAGTCATATGCCACTTAATGAAAAGGGTACTTTCTGAAAACTGCAATGTTAGGTGATTTCATCATTGTGCAAACCTCATAAAGTGTACTTACACAAACCTAGATGAAATAGCCTACTACATAACTAGGCTATATGATATATCACTATTGTATATGTGTCCATCATTGACTGAAAGGTTGTTATGTAGCGCACAACTGTATTTGAAAATTATATATCAAATCAGGGGTTAATATCCAAGATATAAGAAGAACTTATAAAACTCAACATCAAAAAAATAACCTGATTGAAAAATGAGGACCTAAAGCAGTGGTTCTCAACCTTCCTAATGCCGTGACCCTTTAATACAGTTCCTCATGTTGTGGTAAGCCCTAATTTCATTGTTACAAATTGAACATAATTAAAGCATAGTGATTAATCACAAAAACAGTATGTAATTATATATGTGTTTTCTGATGGTCTTAGGTGACCCCTGTGAAAGGGTCATTCGACCCCCAGAGGGTTCGCAACCCACAGGTTGAGAACCGTTGACCTAAAGAGATATTTCTCCAAAGAATACATACAGATGACCAACAGACACATGAAGAGATATTCAACATCACTAATCATCAGGAAAATGCAAATCGAAACCACATAAGATATCACCTCATACCTGTCTAAATGGCTATTGTGAAAAAAAAAACAAAAACACAACAAATAACAAGTGGTAGGGGAGATGTAAAAAAAGAGAGAGAGAGAGAGAGAGAGAACCTTCCCTCATGCACTGTTGGTGTCATTGTAAATTGGCACAGCAAGTAGAGAAAATAATAGGGAAATTCATTTAAAAATTGCAAACAGAATTATCATGTAACCCAGTAATTCCACTTTGGGGCAATTACACAAAGAAAATAAAAACACTAATAGGAAAAGAGATATGTACCCCTGTGTTCATTGTAGCATTATTTACAATAGCTAAGCTATAGAAACAACATACGTGTCCATTGATAGATGAATGGATAAGGAAGATATGGTACATACACACAATGGAATATTACTCAGCCATAAAAAAGAATAAAATCTTGTCATTTGCGACAACATGGGTGGACCTAGAGGGTATTATGCTACGTGAAATAAGTCAAATAGAAAAACACAATTATGTATGATTTCACTTATATGTGAAATCTGAAAAACAAATCAAGGAACAGACAAAACAAAACAGAAATAGACTCACAAACAGAGAACAAACTGATGGTTGCCAGAGGGAAGAAGGTTAGGGGGATGGGTGAAAAATGTGAAGGGGATTAAGAGGTACAAAGTTCCAGTTATAAAGTAAATAAGAAATGGGGATATACTGTACATCATAAGGAATGTAGTCAGGAACATTGTAACAACTTTGTACGATGACAGATGATTACTAGACTTATTGTGGTGATCACTTAGTAGGGTATATAAATGTCAAATCACTATGTTGTACACCTGAAACTAATATAAAATTGTATGCCAACTATACTTAGATTTTTTAAATGGTTAAAATGGTAAAAACTTACCACAATAATAAAAAAAAGGAATCAACTAGTATTTTTTTAAATAGTAGTGCATATTATAAAAGATGGTGACTTATATTCAACAAAATACAGTTAAATATTGAGCCACTACTCAGGACCAAGAAGTGTGCTAGGTAACTTTCATATGTCAACTCATTAAATCCTCATAAATATTAAGGTAGATATTACTCCTGTTTTACAAATAACCCCTTGCCCTGGTCACAGCCAATGAGTAAAAGAATCTGAACAAGGACCCAAGTATCTACTCTGTTCCTCCCTAGCTAGGCAAATTTCCGTGAGGCCAGAATATTAGTCAGAGTTTGCAAGGTCAGCGCCTGCCACCCTAACCTCTTCCCCACCCCCTACTCATTGCTCCCCACCCAGTGATGAGAGCAAGATGCTGGAGTTTATCCCTCAGGCTAATGACCATGTCCTGTCTGGCTTTGGGAGAGCCCTACTCTGACCATAACTAACTGTCTTCCCTCTGCCTTTCAAGTATCACCTTCCAAAACTATAAACCTAAAATGTAGGCTGGTCTTTGGATTTTCTCCAACAGCCTAAGGCACAAGTCTTTTTTATTTTGGCCAAACAATTGCAAAATTCTGTGCTCCACCTTTCTTATGACCTGAACACCCAACTCTACCATGTGTTTCCATTGTCAACCTCATAGAAACAGCCCCAGGAAAAATAAGGGTAAAGAAATCACACAAAGTCCCACAGATGGAAGGAACAGCAGCCCTGCTCTAATATCTTCAGGTTCTATGGGATGATGATGGTTAGTCTTAACTTGGGATGGATGTAACACGATGAGCTGGGCATCCAAGTTAAAAAGCTACAATGGATGTCATGAACTGGAAACCTAAACTTATCTTTAGTCATATGAAACTACCTTCAATTAATCCAAGTTGGGCAAAGAAGGAAATAGCCATGAGAAAGAGGAACAAACCTTAATTTTACAATTTTAGCTTTATCCACCTACTTAACAGAATCAAATCCAGTAAATGTGTTGTTATCCTAACTTCCATATCATCAATTTAAAAAAGGAAGGAGCGCAATATCCCAAGGAAATTGAATTTATTTTCTAACATGACACACACAGGCTCTCAGAATTTCAGCTTAAATGTAGAATCTAGGTTTCCTAACATCTAGACATGAGAGTAACATTTAAAGAACAACAAACCAACTTACTAAACAACACATTGACCAACAATAAAATTGACAGATAATACAAACTGACACTTCTTTAATAAAATAAAGAGGAAATAATGAATTATCTATTTTAGACTTTAGTTTATTCAAATACTACAATTTTCCATAGGCATAGGGCCATACTTAATTATGAGCACAAGCTAACTCTTAAATATTATGTGTATAGGTTTCCATGTGCTACCGTATTGAATTAAAAATTAACTCATTATATTATACTCATCTCTTCAAAATTAAAAGACTGAAAACAACTTTTTGCCAATTGTATTACTGTGGTTTAGACTCAACATTAATTTGCATTTGGACTTCACCTGATAGACCAGTGGCTGACAGTCTAATTTTTCCACTGATACAAGGAATGAATCTAGCCCTAGCTGGTTTGGCTCAGTGAATAGAGTGCCAGCCTTCAGACTGAACCAGGGTCCCAGGTTCAATTCCAGGCAGGGGCACATGCCAGGTTGCAGGCTCGATCCCCAGTAGGGGGCATGCAAGAGGCAGCCAATCAATGATTCTCTCTCATCATTGATGTTTCTATCTCTTTATCCCTCTCCCTTCTCTCTGAATTCAAGAAAAATATATTAAAAAAAAAAAAAGGAATGAATCTAGGTCAGGAGACTGCTTGCTACAATAGGCAAGCAGGATAACGTGGACCTGAAATGACAGGGTCAGATAAGCAGAAAAAAAAAAAAAGTATATGAGAATGGTACCCAGATTTCAAGTCTGAGCAAAGAACAGAACAGTGATGGCAATAAAAGAGATGGGGAATACAGGAGAAAGATGGCCAAAGAGAGGGAATAAGAAACAAGATGTTTTGTTGAGTCTGCTGAATTTGATATGTATACATGACATCCACAGGGACATGTCCAACAGGAAGTAGGTAATGACTCGCATGGGCCTCAAGGGAAAAGTCCTGAGTAGAAGCCAATACCCTAAGAGATAACTGCTAAAATGGAACACAGCAATAACACCAAACCACCAAGAGAATGCACACAGTGAGATGAAGGAAAGACAGCAGGGGCCCAAATCTGCAGTTGTCAGCAATGGGAAGAATCTGTGAAGAAGGCAAAGATAGAGCAGGTCAGAGAAGCAGAACAAACCAAAAAAATTCCAGAATCTATGATACAGACAGAAAACAGCCACCTACATCAGAGACCACAGAAAGAGTCAAGAGTTATCAAGAGAAGAAGGCCACTGGATTGAAGAGGGAATGGAAGGAGAGGCAGGCATATCAATCTTCCTTACTAATAAAACCTGAGGTCATGGGAGGAAAGGCCTAGGGCTGTAGCTTGATAGGTAAAAGCAAACCAATATGATTTTGTCAATATAAACCAATATTATTTTGTCAACCATGCATATCACCACATTAAAAGAAAAGGCTTCGGTACATCTGGCACAAGCACATAAAAACTTGGATCAAGACACCAACCATTCTGCGATTAAAATTCCCCCCCCCCCCCAAACACACACAGACACACATACACACACACTCATTTCTAAATGATAATGACTTTTTAAATACAGGTACAAAAAGAAGATGTACATTTTATTAAAAGTGCAGAGGATTGCATGTCATAAATTATACATTTTGAAATACACCTATGTCAACATTTTACTCAAGAGAATATCTTAGTTTTGAAATGCCTTGCTACTTTTATATATGTGATCTAAATTTGGCACTAACATGAATCATTCGAGAGAAAAAAACCCATAAAGATATTATTAAGTTATAGTTAACTCCAGAATTGTGTTGAAATGTTAGGAAATCATTTACGCTGTGATACTTATATTGTGAAATGGTCCTTAAAAGCTTTCAAATATCAAAGATTTTTTATGTATCGGCACTCTTGTCTGTGCAGTGTCTTAGCACATGCTTACATAAAAACAGTTTTTAATCATTAAATGACCTACAAGGTTGAAGTTATGAAAAATGGCCATGAAAGCAGCAAATACCTGAGGTACTCACAGCTGTGGAGTAGGGATTATGAGCTCCAGTGTTTTCAGCCCAGCAGCCACATCCATAAAGAGCAGCCTGGGGAAAAAAGAAAATAGATAAATATAATATTACAGAAATATTATAAGGAATTACTGGCTTTCAACAAAAGACAAAATCATACCCATCTAATAAATTTAGTAATGATGTATAACAACCGGGCAATAATACCAGAGGTTATATAAAACCTATCCAAATAACATTCTAACACTATTAAAACTATATTTTCAGCCATTGCAGTAATCTAAAAATTTTCAGAAAATAGCAAAAGAAAGTTTCTTAGTTTTATCAACAGTAATTTTTCTTCGCCTGAAAAATCTTTCCCCATTGTAATCTGTCAGCTAGTTGCTCTTCTGGCCCCTTGAAATCATTATGGTTGCATTACAATAGTGGTTCTCAGACTAAGTGTGTATCAAATTTTGGGGGGAGCATGGTGACAGGAGCCTTGGTTCCCAGATACTCTCGGTCGGTGGTCTGGGGACGAGGCCAGGAATCGGCTTCGTTCACCAGGGCCCTGGAAGGCTGGGATGCCAGTGGTCCTTCTGCCATGCTCTAGGAAACCCCACTGAGGAGGACCTTTTCCATGCCTCCCTTGGGTGGCACAATGGGAACTGCAAACAATTATGTACCAAAGGGCCCAGGATATGCTCACCACCATGCTAGATTCTGCCAGGTGTAAAGAAAAGAGAAAAAAGGGCCTGTTTAAGGTAATAACTTTGTGAAGTGTTGGAGCATAGTTATATGTCTCAAACCATTAGGAACAAAGTAAGTAACAATGATTTTATAAAAGAATGGGTCAATCATTCCTATTTTGTTTCCAATTAATGCTACCCAAAATGTCTGGATACATCTCTTCAATATCCACAACCACTTCTCTACCTTTAGAAAGGAAATCACATCTGATAATTTTCCACTCCTTAGTTAGAAACAGATTTATAAAAAACCTTAAATAGCTACCTAGAGAAATACAACAATGTGCAATAGCACATGTTCGGTGAAAATGAAAAACTGAAAACAACCTAAATGTCGATCAGTAAGGAAATGGCTAAACTGGCATAGCAATATATGGAATTCAATGCAAAGTTTCAAAAAAAATTAAATTAGTTCCTAAAAAAGAAGAAAGAGGTAAGCTGCGACAACACATTCAGCATCCAGATTGATTGATGGAGGAAAAAGATATTCCCATAAAATAGTACTGTTTTTTTCTAGGAGCTCACTTCTGAGGACTGGAGGAAGAAGACTGGCAATGGTGACCAAACTTTAGCTTTCTATAACATTCTATTCTTTCTCACAAGGACTTCAGAGCTCATTTGCTCTAATATTCTACCAAGAGCAGGAATCTCCATGAAATATCCCAGACACTTCTGAATCTGAGAAGCTCACTATCTCATAAGGGAACATATCGCCCTTTTGGACACTTCTCATTGGCGAAAAGTTCTTCCTTCAATTGCATAGGAATATCTGCTCTATCATAACTTCCACCCACTAGTACTAGTTCTATTCTTTGGAAATGCACTAACCTCCTCCTAAAGCTGTTTTCTGGTTTTAAAAACAGCTATCCTAGGGCCCTGATTATTCTTTTCTCACTCAAAGAATACTAGATTTGTGAACTGTTCCTCAACACTTTAAAATGTACACACACACCCCACTCTCCTAGTCACCCTCCTTGAGAAATAATACAAAACCAAGGAAAATTGGAGATGAAGTCTTGTGACCCACAGTTGCCATCCCCAGTTGTCATGAATATAGCCCTCTTAAAAGTAAAACTGATCGAGACCCTCAAACCTCAGAGGGAAGGCAGGGGAGGAGAGGGGGAAGAGGGAGAGATCAACCAAAGGACTTGTATGCCTGCATATAAACATAACCAATGGACACAGACACTAGGGGGGTGAGGGCATGAGCAGGGGTGGGGGGAGAGGCAATGGGGGCATAAGGACACATATGTAAATACCTTAATCAATAAAGAAAAAAATCTGAAAGTTAAAAAGAAAATTCATACTAAATCAGAAAAGCATCCTCTATAGGAATTGCATTAAAGCAATCTTTAATGTAGAAACATAAAAGATGATTTGGATAAAAAACTGAATGTGCTGATGGTGGCACACATCTTGTCAACATACTAAAAACCATTGAGTTATACACTTTAAATGGGTGAATTGTATGGTATGTGAGTTATATCTCAATAAAGCTGTTTTAATAATAAGCACACAAAAAAATGTCCCCATTTATAGTTGTGGAAAGTAGAGCTTAAAGACACTGAATATTGTCCACAGTAAGGAGACTGGTAAATGGAAAGGTAGAATTAGATTAAAGGTCCATACTCTGAACCACTCCACTTAACTCAACTGTCTATTTGTATTTGAGTAGGGGGGAGGTATAAGGGAGGCGAAGAATATAATAAATTCCGTGCTCATGTCCCAGTTCTAAGTCTAATTATTACAGTATTCCCCCTACACACACACACACACACACACACACACACACACACACACACACACGCGCAATAAATAAGGCACAAGGATACCTCGTAGAAACCCAGAACATTTATTCTTACTCTTTTTTCTTCTAAGCAAATTCCCTTTGGGTTACTTTCAATTTTATGACCTAAAGTTGTCTTATTTTGTAACTTTCTGAAATTGGTTGGGCTGAGATACAAACAGGTAAGTTAAAGAATCAGAGATTGTCTCTCTTATCCACTTCTTTAGATAAAACACAGCAACCTTAAGCAGGCCTAAAATAAACAATTTTAAAAGTTTCCTTCTTTTTAGTAGTAAAATTTTATTAAAGCTATTATCATGTAGTAAAAGTAGGTCATATAAATTATATTACTATTATTATTATTTAATCTTCTCTGAGTTTTAGTTTCCTCTTTTATAAAATGAGGATAATAAAAACACCCCCCTCTTAGTGCTGTAATATCATGTGAATTAACATGCCTGTCACACATAGCATAAACAATGGCTATAGCTGTTATCATGAGGGACTATGATAAGTAATTTAATGCATTATGTCATTTAATTTTCTAGAACTTTGTAAGGTAGCAATCTTTAATGTAGAAACATAAAAGATGATTTGGATAAAAAACTGAATGTGCTGATGGTGGCACACATCTTGTCAACATACTAAAAACCATTGAGTTATACACTTTAAATGGGTGAATTGTATGGTATGTGAGTTATATCTCAATAAAGCTGTTTTAATAATAAGCACACAAAAAAATGTCCCCATTTATAGTTGTGGAAAGTAGAGCTTAAAGACACTGAATATTGTCCACAGTAAGGAGACTGGTAAATGGAAAGGTAGAATTAGATTAAAGGTCCATACTCTGAACCACTCCACTTAACTCAACTGTCTATTTGTATTTGAGTAGGGGGGAGGTATAAGGGAGGCGAAGAATATAATAAATTCCGTGCTCATGTCCCAGTTCTAAGTCTAATTATTACAGTAAACTGAAGAAGCAAATAAGTTCTCATTCAAATTGCCATTTTACTGTCTGAACTGTTATTTTATATCTAAAGAAGGGTAATATGCTAAAATTTTTAAATCATTTGTACATTTAAATGTATTTAAAAGTATCTAATTTTAGCACATTTAAATAATAATTTGCTTGTGTATTTTGTCATACTCTGTCCTGATTATCAAGAAGAACAGTTCTTTACCTCTCATCTGATGCTTACATATTTCCAGGCGAGGCAAATTACATCTCCTTTTCCAAGCAATATAATCCAATTAAGCAACTGTATTTTGCTATAAGTACCTTGACTCCTCTCCTCCACACCCTTTCCTGAGTTTTCATCTCTCACAAACTGTGCATTCATAAACTCGCCAAGTGGAGCAAATAAACATTAAGTTTTACAGAAGTATTTCTTTATCCAGGAGAGTCTCGTTTGCAGTGGCAGAATGGCTTCAAGACTATTTGATGTAATATCCTACTAACACAGTCCAGAACTATCCTTGGTTCAGTTGTTGCTATTTTGCTAACCAAAACAAACAAAAAAACAGTGAGAAAGTCATGGGAATTGCAAAGCTATGAAGGGGGCTCTGCTGGCTTTTCTCTCTCCTTCTCCACCAAGCCATCCAAAACTGATATGCCAACTTTGGTTTTCTTATTCCAAACTCGACAAATACACAGGACTTTATAATGTGGAAAAATACCATGACCAGACAAAGGCTTTTTATAATGAGTTCAAAGCATTGTACACATGTTGAGTAATCATTCCCCATAAATCCCCTTCTACAGTAGACAAAGAATTGCACAAAATTAATTGTTCTTCCCTTCCCTTTTCCCCCATAGGACCACAAGTAGTTTATGCACAATAAAGCGCAGATTAGGGAACAACACTTGAGGCTTTGCAAAGATGTCCTCCATGAATCAGATCACTCTGCTTCAAGCATTCACTAACCACCATGTCCAAAGCAACTGTGGCATCGACTCTTCTTTAAACATGAGAAACAAAGTGAAAGAGCAGCCAAGTAGTGCTCTACATGTAACACAAGATCCAAATACTGAGCTTAACCACACCCTTGCAACTACTTTAAGAGATTCCATGATGGTGTCCAATTCATTTGTTCAGTTAACAAATATTTATTAAGCCTATAAGCAATGTGCCAAATTGGTTTATACTCAGAAAGCTTCATAGATCAAACAGACTGCTAAATTTCATTCTCAATATAGCCCTAGAGGTTGATGATAGGAGACAAGGGGAGGGGGAAGGGCGAAGATGTGCAAGTGAACTGGAAATAAGCCAGTTGCACATACATTAGACCCTCCTCATAAACAGATTTCTTGAATGGTATCATATGTGGTAACCTGAAATACTGGTTAGTCTATAAAATAGCTGAAATGTTTAATCAGAGGAGCAATTTAGAGGGTCAAATATTCCTTGAATGGAAGAAACACAAAATGTAACTCTAAAATCATTTTCCCACCTAAAAAGCAAGCAGTAATAATAGACAGGTAGAGCTTGCTCCTAAAAAGAATGACACTTACAAAGAAAGAAAAGGGAAATCAACACGCATTTATTAAACGTCTACTATGTGCCCAGCCTGTCCAAAGTAGTAAAACACAGGATTACCAATGCTAAAGATCAGAAAGAGCCCTATTACTATGAGAATTTTTTTTAGAAAGAATCGTAAAAAGTTTTTGATTAATGATTTATACTACAAAAATGTTAAAGAACAATATTTTTTTTCTAAAGAAAAAAGGTCTGTACAGTTTAAGATTTGTGAGCTAGAAAATGCCATGTTTTAACTTGTAAAGCTAGTTTAAAGACCCAACGACTCACCTGCCCAACTCTCCCTGGATGTTTCAAGGCCAAGCCTCCACTGGAGACAGCAGCAGCAACGTTCCCTTCGTGGTCCACAACCACAGCGCCCACTGTGTCCAAAGTGCCTGAGTCGTTCTCCTGCAGAACAAATGAGCATTCACTAAGCATGGTGTGTCACAATGTGATATGACTACATAATAATTTCTAGTAAAATCGTGACATAAAATCTGAGCTAATCCTTAAGTGAAACATTCAGCAATCTCCTAAAGTGTTCTATTATCAAGTTGCCATTTAAATCCTGTTCAAGACAAAATGTATTATCCACTGAAAAATCCTAAACAAAAGCTTTTTTTCTCATAATAAGCCTAATATGCCTTTCTAAGGGAGGGAAAAGTGTTTAATATGATTTATAATATAACATAGTGCCTTCCTAGTCTTAAGAGTTAAGTTCATAATTGAGATTTTGCAGAGGAAAAGATCTGTAGCATAAGTGAAATGCCATTATTAGTGTTTTGAAATTGTATACAAATTTCTAAAAGTAAGTAATAGAGTTAGCACAAAAAAATGTAAAGAATGGTATTTATAATTTCAAAGTATACTATACTATGCTATAATTTTCTTTTATAGTTCCTTGCCTTTAAGAAACTTTATGGCAAGCCCCCATCTCTGCTATAGCAATATGCTTGCCAATTGCATGTCAGAAAAGTGTATGTTGTTGAGAAGCATCTTTGTGTTTCTGTGTCTTGTCCCAGGTCCCACATGCTTAACGCATTTCACATGTAGTGACTACAAACAGCTGACTTCCTATCTTGAAGATTTCTGGGTCACCTGTGCAAGACAGAAAAACTTTGTATTACAGGATAAAAATCAGAAAGAAGGGAAGCAGGTAAAAGGTGTCATGAAAAAATATATCTTTTTTCTAAAATAATAGCAGTCCTGGTGGTGTTCTTAATACTAGGACACTGGTTTCCAATTGTGCCCTAGAACTCAAGACCCCTATCCTCATCCCCACCCTCAAGGATACATGAAAGAGCTAGACATAGGCAGGTTCAACAAGAACAGCCCCTCCTCCCATGTGGTTTATGCTCACACTCCTGAGCAAGACTTCATTTGTACAGAGGGATCCCTCGCTAAGAAGTTTTGAAATAAAATCCCCAGAAAAGTCAATGAGCTCCTACAGCCACCTCAGAAGTTGAGCAAAATTGAAGGGAGTTTTGAAATAACTGAAGCAATTCTGTTATTTCAAGCAAAAGACATTTCCTTAAAGCAAACTGAAAAATTTAGAGACAGAGTATGCCACAACAAATATTACATTAAGTCTGTTAGGAGAAGGTACATCTAGGCATTTGCATTTCTTTGGTTCTTGCTCTGAATTCTAATTCCCCTTAAATATACTGATATAACAGTACATACCTTGATGGAAAAGGCATAACTGACTAAAATGAGTGCTGTATACCTACTCTCCCTTCACAGGTAGAAGCCTTGCTAATGGGTCCACAAGGCCATATCCCAACATACCATGGTTCTGCCGGTGACAGGTTGCCTGACTTTCAAGGACAGTTCCCTGTCCTGACTAAACTCTCTGAGGAAAGGTTTGATCCACTCTGTTTCACTTTGCACATGGCAGACATTCAGGACATAATTATTCATTAATTAGGATGGAATAAAGTATGTCTGCATCCCTGACGTCACAAAACAAGCCTAGCGAGTGATGGTTTATGCTATGCCTGGGCCACAGTCTTCCATCTCCTTTTCTCAAGACTCAATTTCATTCAAATTCAGAGGATGCCACTTCTTAGGGGAAGACTTAACAATAGCCAGATTTGCTCACTTGGTATGGATGAAATCAAGTTTATCTTTTTTGGTGAATAAGATGAAAGTATCAAAGTAAATGAGTAACCCTAAAGAGAAATGTACTTCTAACTTATGTTTCTTTATTATAAGAAATAATTCCTAAATCTTTATATCCCTGCAACCTCAGATACAGAAATGTTGGTTTCTTGTCCAGATGCCAAGTCTTATGTCGTCTACAGGAGGACTTTTCAAACTTTAATGTGCCCAGATGGATACAAACCATCTGGAAAATATGTTTTCTAAAAAAAGAATAATTGCAAATGTATAAGTGTAATAGTTTAAATGCAGATTCTGATGGAGGAATCTGGGAATGATCAAGACTGTATATCTAACCACCTCCCAGTAATGCTGATGTTGCTGGTCCATGAACCCTACTCTGAGAAGCAGGTATGATGGCATCCCACTGGATCATTATTACCCAAATGCCTGCTCTACTCATTTGGAGGCAAATAATTTTATAGGCACAAAGCTGCTGAACAGGAAACTTAAACCACCTAAGACTAACATAAGTCAGCATAAAAGATTTAAACTCCACCTTGTTCAACTCTCAACTGGCAGCATAGCACCATGATCATACCACCATGAACATATTACAAAGTATTTTAAATTAATGACCTTATACATGTGTTTTTTAGAAATGGACAACTTTCATACAAATAGACACTATAAAATAATTCTGCTCAATGACAACAAAAAATGTTAAGAAACAGTATTCTTTTTTTATTGTTTTTTCCTTTTGTACTTGTTTTCTCTTTTAGTTGTTTCTGTTCTAATTTTTTTACATTTTATTTTATTTTATAGTTGACAGTATCCTTTATTAGTTCATTTTTTATTAACTGAGACTGCTGACCCTAACCAAGCATTCTATAAAACAAAAATGTTACAGCAGGGACACATAACATCTACATAGTGATATATACTATCTGTAAAACAATTCTCTTTGCATTTCAATCAGGATAGCGTGCACTATGAGAACACGTATGCCTAACCAAACTACTGTTGAAAGATTCAAAAGGATTATACATAGATAGATTTACAGTAACTTGGTTTTTAAAAATGAAAGACCGAGCAAAAAATAGGGAATACTGTTCCAAATTAAGCTAAATATTCCTAAGGGCTTGCAACACCTGCAAAAATCAGGGTTACTCCATAAATATTCAAGAATTAGTTCACAGATTTCACATTCTGAAAAGCAAATTTAAAGATGATGAAGTAATATTTAAGCATTTTTATGAAGTGCAGATACAGTGAGTGAAAGACAAACATTGGTATTTTGGCCCTAATAATTTCACACTTGTTTGTACAGAAATGAAATCTTAGAAAGTTTAAAAAACACACAATGACTGTTACTATATAGAACTACTATTATACTCTTACACTCCATAAATACTTAAAAGTAAATGCACCACACAGATACACATGTACCTATTGTCCTTGACTAAAACACACTATTTGCATTACTTTCTTGACAAAATTGTGACTAAAAACAACTATAAAAACTATAGTTCCCTTAGAATAAATACACGTATATAAAGTTAGAACAGAGAGTGCATCTGTCAAGGAAAAACATTGAAATAAGGCTTTCTTGAAGTAACCAATAAACTAGTAATCACTGTTGGACTTAATGTCAAAAGATTTATTTTTCTCTGCTCCAAATTGGAGATGACTATTACATAGTTATGGTAAGAATTAAATTAAATAACACATGTAAACTACTTTAAAGGGGGGGGGGGAAATCCCTTAAAACAAAGTTTAGATACTTTCCACCAGAAAATTAAGCCTCTAACCTTCACTCTAATTCTGAAATTAGCCAAAAGACACCATCTATCTGTTACTTACCTCATTAACTTGTTTTTTCTTCTATAAAGAATTATTCAATATCAAATAGCTAAAATCAAGGATAATCTCAGCCCTGCTGGTGTGGCTCAGTGGTTGAACATCGACCTATAAATCAGGAGGTCACTGTTCAATTCCCAGTCAGGGCGCATGCCCCAGTTGTAGGATTGATCCCCAGTACAGGGCATGCAGGAGGTAGCTGATCAATGATTCTCATTATTGATGTTTTTATCTCTTTCTCCCTCTCCCTTCTTCTCTGAAATAAATAAAAATATGTTTTCTAAAAAAAGAATAATTGCAAATGTATAAGTGCATCCTAAAACTGGGGTAAGGTGGAATGATCTTAATACAATAATCATGAAACACCTTTTTTGAAAATATAACCAAACTTTCTAATACACCCTTGTTAGGTTTGTGGGCAACATTAAGTTGGTGTGAGCATCCACTTAAGAAAAGCAGATGACTAATGCTCTCCATGACAGCACAGTAATGCCAGCATTAAGCTTTACCATCTTTGAGTATCCTAAACATGGAATACTAGCTCTGGCTACAGGAGACCCAGATCTGGCTCCTTGTCTACCTCCCACAAACCGGCTCCCTTCAGTGGAGCCACTGTGGGCTCAGAGTATATCAGATGTGTACAAATAAAGTATAATGTAGCAAGAAGTATCTACTTTCATGTATCTGGCTTATCTAAAACTAAGGAAAAACTGGATATAAGAACACCCAATAACCTTTCTATTTTCTCTTTAGAAAATCATTCTTCTATGGCTAAGGGTTCTGTCAGTGGCAGCCAGCCTGGGCCAGCATGGTGGCATTCTTGAATAACTCTCAAGGAATTTCAGCTAAGCTCACAAGGCGGAAAGAGAAAAGCACACTGAAACTCAGAGAAGATGCGGAAGTAAAGTGCAGAGGTATGGAGGCTCACGTGGAAAGGGCTGGCAACTGAGGACACACTTGTCTTTTTCAATCGGGAGGGAGTCACAAGCTCTCGACTGCTCTGAACTCCAGTTCCGGGCGAGTCTCTGGGGACCCAGACTCATACGGGGAGAAACTGGACTGTCTGGCATCGGGCGGAACTCGAGGGCGGCTTTCTCTCAGAGGTGCTTGCAGCGATTACAGCGGGACACTGAGACCCGGGGCCTCTTAGGGCAGGGCTGAGGATCAGCCATAGCTGTTTGCTCCGCCCTGTTGATTCCCTGACACCCCGCCCCACCCAAGCTGTGGCAGAGGCTTTTGCATATGAATGGCCTGGCCCTTTGCAATCTAAAATTACCTAACAAACTGCAGCTGGGTCAGAGAGACCCAGAACTTCCAAAAGAAGGCCCAAGGCCCCACAGCAGCTTGCATTGCTTCACAGCTGGGCCTCATCTGGGCACCTCCAAACCCCAAACAAAGAAGAGGAATCTGCAGATCTCTCCGTAGCTCCTGCTGGGTAGCCTCAGGCA